TATATTGATTTTCGATTTACAAGCGATTCTCTCATTGATTATTTTAAACACACACACACACACATTTACAGGGTGGAGATCGATTCTTGTTTGGTCAAACATTTCCTGACTAAAAATACTTTGTGTAAACCGGTGTTATTGGATAAAACGCATTTTTGGATTCGCACGACTTAACCTTAACTGTTCATTTGGGGATTTTTTGAAAGAGAAGGATAAGAAGGAGGATTTGTAAATAGGATCCATCAATTTTTTTTTTTGTTTTCGAAATCGATTTTAACCGTTTTTTTCTTCGGGTTTCATCATACATGATGATGATGATGATGATGATTGGATAAAATAGTCAGGCTTATTTTCATTTCCGAAACACACAAGGGATTTGTATCGGTCATTTGTTGACGTTTTTCATTTTATTGGATATGCCCAATGAACAATAATCAAAAAACATAACATTGAATTGGTGATAGGAAAAAATGGTTCCATGGTTAAGCAAGCGATTCATGTTTCGAAATGTTTTGATAAGAGAAGAAAAAAGAAATGGCCACCAAATTCTCTGTGAAACTCTAAACAGAATTCTAATGGTTTTTTTTTTTTTTTTGGTCAAAAAAAAATCTAGTTAATTTTTTTTAAAAAAAGAAAATTCTTAATTTTCTCATCATTAATTCGAAAGAAGAAAACAAAACAAAATGGTGACTACTAGAAACTTCAGAAGAAAAAAACTGAAAATCTCACAAATTTGATGAGAATTTTTCTATTTTGAATTTTCAATGTCCATCACACACACACACACAAACAGTAATTACAATGACCGGAATCTATTTATTTTCACATTCTTCATTTCATCATCATCTTGATGATGATGATGATTATTGTTGTCACCTTTTTTTGTTTTTTCCTGATGGTTTGTTGTTGATGTTTGTCACATAAATATATAATTTATTATCATTATCAAAAAAAAAAATCTGATCAAAAAGTTCAACTGGTCAGTTAGTTGGACACTCGGTTATTGTTTTTTTGTTTCGCAATTGAAACAAAAAGGATGAGAAAAAACTTTCCGGTGGAAAGCTAGGAAAATTTCACATTATTGTTTTCCAGGTAAAAATAATTATCCACAGCAAAGTTTATTCTTCCACCGCAAAAAATCAAAATTTCATCTGTTCATCATCATTCTGGTGATTATCAATCAGAAAAATCTTCAGATTCATCTGTCATTCATTCGAAACAAAAAAAACCTATTAATCTTTTTTTATGGTCATTTGGTTATGGTCATATGGAAAGAGAGAAAGAGAAAAGGAAAATTGGTGATCAATGATGATTTGGATTCAAATTCATTGCCCGTTGGCTGTTAATATAAATCTTTTTCGTTT